CTCTCTCCTAGGTTATGTTGGGGACAGAAAACTTCACATATATATATATATATATATCAAAAGTATTAACAGAGCTTAAACTGTTTAAAACTCTGCCACATATTCAAGAAGTAGAAATAATTTAAATATATAACTGTATGGTTTTTACCATTTACTAGGGTTCAGCTTCAGTAAAATATTACCTTTTCATGATTTGTTGACCAATAAGAGTTGAGCCAGTGAATCCTAATTTTCTTATATCTGGGTGGTCTGCAATAGCCTGACCACATACACTTCCTGCAAATGATGTAAAAGATAGTTTGAGAAGTTTCTTCTCCATTAGTTTACACATCTTCATATTCTGTTGCAAAAACTATTCTTTGTTAAAGCATGAATAAAAGACAATAATCCTTTTTCTTTATCAAATTCCACAATATACTTCACTTTCCTATTATATCACTGGATCACCTCTGTCAAATTTTAAAAAAACACCTTAATACTGATCTTAATTACCTGTTCCAGGAAGAATATTGATGACACCTGGTGGAAAACCAGCATATACACTTAATTCTGCCAATTTCAGAGCACTTAATGGCGAGACCTGAGCAGGCTTCAGAACAAAATTACCCATTGATGATGGTCTCTTGGAAGATGGCTGCTTGCATTGCTGCAGGAAACACTGCCATGGAGTAACTATACCACAAACACTAAAAAACAAACATTTAAAATAATCAGCTACTGAAGTTTAAGGACTTGCATCATTCACTATATATATGTATACCATTTACACAATAAAGTGAATTTCTGGTATTAAATGAATACACACTCTCTCAAATGAGGTACTTTAAAGTATCTGATGATATTCAATAACTATTATGAATATTTTTGTCAAAAGCAAGTTAGATCAATAAACATTTTTATATAGGGTGATTCCACAAGACCACACGTCAAGAATTTGTGGTCTAGCAATGTACAAGGCAACTAGCAAGTTTTATATGATACAATTTCTGCCTTGTGGACAATTTTTGAATTAGTTTTCACAAATGCCCAAGATCTGTTCTCTTTTGGGATGTTTTAATAGGGAAAGGAGAGAAATAAACAAGATTTTTTATAGAATACGAAAAGAAGTATCTTAGTAAAAATGGCACTTTAAACACTTACCCTGATGAATATTTAATGGTTTCACCATAAATCATAACTCCTAAATTGTGGACTTATGCATTGATAAATTAGTTGTATGCTTTCATCTGGGGCTTTGTGTAATATGAAGTTTAAAGAACTAAATAAATTAATATATCTGAAACTGGACATTTGGTAAGGCTTGCACTTCAGGTTAAAAATCAGACTTTTCAAGCAAATAAGGATCTACCCCATCTATAAGTGATAGCTTGGCATCTTTGAAAAACATTTCTCCAGACCCACTGTATACTCAGATACTTTAGCAGTGGCCATGTTTGCCCTGAAACTACAAATTCGAAGCACATGTATGATAATATTAAGGAAATCTAGCTATAAAGATAATATATAATTTTAGAAATTTGAACTTACCCAATAGGTTCTTTCTTTGTAAATGTAAGATTACGGTTTGGTCTTGCATGGTTTATGGGAATGGTGGATCCCTGGATTTTGTCACACCATCCTCCAAAATACCTCCAAGTATCAATGGACATACCAACATGAGTTTTTAAGGCTAGAGTGTAAACAGCACCAGAATCAAGGCTTTCAAGTGTAGCTAGCTCTTCTTTGTGTTCATCCATTAAGTCTGCTAGTCTATAAAGTAATATACTTGGGATAACATATCACTAACTGTCTATAAAATATCATTAAATAGTTGTCATTTCAACCTGTTATTTGAGTATATTTAATTCTTTAATACCTCAGAAGAACAGCAAACAGAATACTACTTCAACAACTGATGAACAATGAAGTACATATTAAGTGCAAATCACAGAGATCAGGTGTAAAATAGCCTAAATATATATAAATATTCAAACATTGTAAAATATAACAATTCAAGGTGAAGGAAAGTTAATTGAAAGCTAAAATTTTATAACATTCATACACACACACACAGGTATGTATATACACAAGCAAAATTACCCATCCAAAGTGGTAGGAAAAGTTTAAGTTAATCTGTAAATTTAGATTATTTGATGGACTTGTTAATTGTGTTGTATTCTTGGTTTCACTCAGAGTCAAAACTCTGAGCTACTTATACCGCCCACCACAAAAAGTAATTGTTGGGCATTTCAGTCATGCTAAGAGCCACTCAGGAATAACATATGGTAAATCTACATTTTTATTCTTTAAGTTATGTCATATTTTGAAACGTGAATGATAGTGTGATTAATTTCTAATAATGTAGGGTAGAATATCCTGCTCGTGAAATAATTTCAAAATTGAATGTTGAGCTTTGCCTGCATGCACAGCTTTTCAACTGCAACGTGGGAACCAACTGCCATAAACGGGAGACAGATGAATACTCAGACATTCGCAATACACACCCATATATATAAACAAGTGACATTTAAAAGCAAATATTTTCTTCCTTTATTACTTTTAATACAAGTTTTAGAAGCTCTTCAATATGATATGAAAGTTTCTAAAATTTCACCATCATATGCATTTTATGTATGAAAAAAAAGTTCATTTTGTTATAAAATTAGTAAACTAGAATAATAGTCTAACTAGAAAAGATTCAACAGCATGTTAAAGACATCTCAAAATACCATCAAAGAAATTCTCATTACAGTAAACTAGTTTTATGCAAAAAATAATCAATGCCAAAATATTTAGTGTCCAGCATAATCAATAGTTGGCAATGAAGTTTAAATAACCATTTTAAACACAGCAAATACATGAGAAACAGTAAGCACACCTGTACATGAGACGACCTCTGTCTCTAGCATTAATTTTGCTCCATTCACCTTCTTCAAAAGCAACCTAAAGATAATGGTATTAAAATGGATTGAATATCAAATTCATATTAACATATTAGAGAAAATGGTAGTACAAAAAATTTAAAAGCCTTTAACAGTTTGTTAGGTACATTAAAAAGTTTAGGTTGAAAGTTTGTGGTAAAAGTTTTGGTCATTTTCAAAGTCTTGACCTCCAACATTTTTTTGTTAATGTTTAGTAATATATGGCAAAGAATGATATAAACATCAAGTAAAACTATGTTATTTGAGTGTATTATTCTTCAAAACAAAAATAACATTCACATCTCACCTTGGCGGCCATTACTGCCTTATGTACATCTTGTCTTGATGCACTTTCCACCTCACAAAGGAGCTAATACAAAATAAAAACATGTAAAATATTTTTTAACAACAGAAAAACATTTCAAATAGCTTTTTGAGCACATTAGAAAAAAGAACTTTAAAAACAAATTTTAGTACTCTTTTAAAAAGAACGTAAAACATTGAAAAACAACTTCAAATCGAAACTAGCTACATTTCATTCTTCAGCACATGAACCATGATATTTTTTTTACAAGCAAACAATACCTGTAATCTTATCTTTGACAATGCTTTGCTTATAGATAATTTAAATTCTATCTTAATTATGTCACTATTATACCCACATGTTAGTAGCAAATATTTGTTTTTATATTTAATTCTACTTATCTAGCACATTAAGAAGACAGTACAGCTTCTAATTCTTGTTTTAAAGCTAAAAAACTTATGTGGTAATTCAAAGATATACAGTTGCCTAATCTCCATAAAAACAAGAGTTTAATGGGTTTAGTATGTGGAAGGAAAAGTGTAATGACTGTCATGATATAAAAGACTGTTTAGTTTAGATATTATTGATGAATGTATTTTGAGAGTGTTTCATTATTATTTAGTTTTTGTTATAATAAGAGTTAAAAGCAGATAATTGTAGGAAGTTGTGTTTATAAATTCATTGATGTTGAGATTACTGAATGTTGAGTGCAATACATTGACTTCGAGAATATAGAGATTTCTAGAAGGCGGGCAGACAATTAAGTGATAAAGATATAAATAGTGTGAGACGAGCAGAAACAGCAGACAGACAATAGCAGAAGAGAGTAAAGTTATGGGCAAAGAAAGGTTTGGCATGAAGTTAACTATCATAGAAATGATAGGCCAAACATTTAATATGTTAGAGCAAGATTAACAGTAGAAAAGGAGATAAGAAGAAGAATTATTCTGTCAAAGCATGGTTCTAAAGTAATTGAATCAGCCTAAGTGCATTTTGACAAAAGGAACAGAGGATATTTAGAAGAAAGAAGACCAAATGATTGTGGCAACTCGAGCCATAATTGTAAGTGAATCACACACAGAATATTGGTGTGAAAATAATAGAGAAGATAGTTTGGCTTGTCAACTGAAACTCTAAAGTAACTGAATAGGCCTAAGTGGACTTTTGACAAGAAGAAGAGAACTACATATATAGTGTTCATGATATGCCTGTAATCTCTATAGTGTGAAGAATTTGTTGTGCATATGTTTAACTTGTTCTAAATATATATATATTATTTTGAAAACAAGTGAAGTGCATGCTGTTCATTTATCGCCAAATGATTGTTCTAAGTTTATACTTAATTGAGCTTGTTTCTGTGACATGTCCTCCTAGAGTGAGATCATTCATTTTATGGGATGGTACAGAAACTTGTACATGTTACTATGAGTTGGGAACTTATCCTTGAAGATGCAGAGTTGAAATTATTGTTAATGTAGTAATCTTTGATTTAGTTACTGCATTAGAACTTGTCTAATTTAAAGTGAATATCATCATCATTCTTATTTTTGTCTCTTTCCTGTGCAGAAATTCTCATTCTGCCCTAGTGCAGTTGTTAAAAAGTATCTTATTAGCAACTGTTAAAGGGTTATGATTTTAGTTCAGTTAGAAAAGCACTTGACAGTAGCGCAAGTAGTCCTGAGTTAAAATCCTTTTCAAGGGAGATGAAACAAAATTGGGTTGTCACACACTTAGAAGCCAGAAAATAAAGATTTACACTGTCTATAAATAAAGATTCTTAACATTTAAGCATTTGTGTGTTTCTTGCTTTCTTTTGTCATCCCAGTTTAAAATAAAGATTTACACTGTCTATAAATAAAGATTCTTAACATTTAAGCATTTGTGTGTTTCTTGACTTTCTTTGTCATCCCAAGTTTAAATAAGATTACACTGTTATAAATAAGAGTTCTTAACATTTAAGGCTATTGTGTGTT